AGTATTTAGTTACATATTTCCTATCAACTATGTTTAAAGAGATAATATTTATTTTATGACTTTGCATTGTCTTAGAAGCACTAGTTTTATTACTCTTACAAACATTATTTTTATGAAGTGCATTCTATAATGCTTCCAATTTATTTTATGTTCACTAAACTAATATTGATGTATTTTTTATTTGGTAGGATTGAGTTGGTGCGATTGATGGAACATATATAGAAGGGGAGGTTCCTAAAGCGGTGCAACAAGCATATCGTAATCGCAAAGGAAAAACATCACAAAATGTCTTATGTGCTTGTGATTTTGATATGCGATTTACCTTTGTTGCTGCTGGTTGGGAAGGTACTGCACATGATAGTAAAGTACTTGAGATTGCACTTGTTGAACCAACGTCACAATTTCCATTTCCGCCACATGGTAACTTTAAATTACATCCTTAGAATAAATATTATTTATTTACACAAAGCTGTCTCATTTACGTCACATATGCTTTTAGTAATTTTTTATAAAATATTTTTGGCAGATAAATATTATGTTGTTGATGCTGGTTTCCAAAACACAAAAGGATTTTAGCTCCATACAAAGGACTACGCTATCATTTGCAAGATTACAGAGGAAGTGAAAGAGAGCCTCAAAATGCCAAAGAACTATTTATTATAGGCATTCATCTCTGCGCAATGTGATTGAATGAACTTTTGTAATAATTACTTAAGTGGAGAACAAATAACTTTGTAATAATTTATTATGCGATTTTATAATTTTTTGTTTATTTGATAAGATTGAATAAACAATTGGGCTATTTTAATAGTTTTACAACTTATGGGATTTTTATGTTTATGAGAAAATATACAACACAAAAATTTCATATCGCATGTCCAAACAAACTTCAATTTCATCTCATGATTCCATATCATGATACCATATCGCATGGCCAAACGGGCCCTTAGGGATTTCATTTCCCATCTACTCTAGAACATATTTGGACTGTTTTCAAGTGTTTTCTTCATGTTTTGATCATCTACAATCCTCCCAAGCTTACGGTAAGTTAAGTGCCTTCCACTCCAAAGATCATACATATATACTTATCTAAGTATTTTCTTGAAGGAAAAGGTGTTGTTCTCGAAAAATACAAAGTGTAGGGATTGGTTTTAATTGTCATAGAGGTATGGTTCATCTTCTATCTCCATGAATATAGTTGTAAAGATGTTTTAAGTATAATTTACAGGTACGACTCATGGGACGGTGATAGGAAGTCATGAGTCCATGTTTTACCCATTGTAAGTGATGTACTTGGAGAGGAGGGAGTTTGTAGAAGACTGTTGGTTGTTGTATTGACTAAAAGAGGGGTGGATGGTACTGTATTGGGGAAGTAAGTTTGTTACGATGAAATGGAAGGTTAGGTGGAGAAAACATGATTTTTTATAGTTCTTGAAAGCTTGTCGCTCGCCAAGTGTTCGATGAAATACCTCAATTGCTCACGTATATGGTGTAGTTGTTTATATGATCTCCTATAGTCATTGATTGTAAGAGTTATCTTCCAACTTAATCTATGAACTTATTAGAGAATTTGACGCCTTTTAATAAAGAACTCACGGGGTGGTGTTCGGAAGCCACAAGTTCAAGTTTATATGTAAGTTTTGGATGATTAAGGGGCTGATTCTTTATGGATTAAGGATTAAGGATTAAGGAGTAATATTGACCTCATAGGTAAGTCATGAGCCCACTAAGACAGTAGAGAAAGAGAAGGGTGTGGCGATAGACCATTTATCTATCGTAGTTGTTGAGCTTGTCGCTTGTGAACTATTATTATGTTTTCGGCCTTGTTGTGTTTCTTGGTTATCCTTTTATACTACCCTATATGATGTTATGTTATAGATAAAGTTGTCAACAAAGGAATTTGACAACACGGCGTAAGATAGGATGACCCTAAGTAAGGTATGTAAAGCTAAAACCTCTTTCGACATTAAGGCAAGACTTGAAGTCGCATGTTCGCCATTAAGGCACGTTGATTCATTTGAGCATTCTTACATGTCTATTTGTTATTCAGTCTGCTTTACATACTAGCACATGTTTTATATGTACTGATATCCCTATTTTGGGGGAGCTACATTTCTACCAATGCAAGCTCCACCTATACCTAGATCTAGCAGATATCTAGAGCCTATATTTTGTTAGGAATATACATTGGTTAAAATAGGTATGTGGGGCCCTATCCCAACAAGTTGTCAGATACTCAGAAACAAACTCTTTAGAGGTTTCTTAGGCTTATTTTTGTTTCAGTTGTAAAGTAGCCCAATGGGCCCTTTTGTTGTTATCTATGTTTCAGTATGTGTCTTGGTATATGTTCCGATGCTTATGAGTCTATAGCATTAGCATGATTTTAGTACATATAATTCAGGTGCTCGTATACATCCTCAATGTCCGTCCATCCCTCTCTATCCATCCCTTTTTAGTACAATAGAGATTTATATATACAAGGTATTTCATTTTCTTCAATTTCACATTAGTATTTGTTCTGATTATAAAAATCATTGAATCCAGAATTTCACCCTCGAATTCGGTCAAAGTATCCAAAACTAGTTGACCAGATCAAGTACGGATCCCACACCCACGTCGTGTTGCACAAGTGTGGCACCAAAAGTGAAGAACCCGAGCAACTTAGTTTTTATGCCTTTTCTGAAAAAACTTGGGAAACATAATTCATTGATTAGATAGTGCATTTATTTCGTTTTAAGATATTAAAAGGCTAAATCATTTTTTATTGTTGACACTAATTAATAAACTAATTATAAAACCTCTACACAACTTTTAAATCTAGAGGGAACCACATTAAATGAGAGATCATCATAATCAGATTTTGTTTCCCAATTCCAATGAATTCACGGTTAAAGACAAAAAAACATAGCAATATATTACTACTGGTGTTACATACCTTTGCCCCATTTCTCAACTTCATTGTTAATTGTTGTTCGCGATATCTACAAAGTACTGTTCACAGTTAGTTTGTCCTACAGAAGAGAAGTCCAACTCTAGTAAAAGGACTCAAGATTTAAGCTCTACCTTGAGGAAGATCCTTTTCAAGTTTGAATTTGTTCATTTGGAATCCGGGTTCAAGTTAGCTTGTCATTGCAATTGATGTTCGATCCCGAAGAGAAGGAAAAGATCTTTGGAAAGTGGGTTCTTATGATCTGTTTGTATCTTTGTTTTGAAATCTCTACTATAGAAAAGAGGGGAAACTGAAACAGTTCTACTAAGGACATAAGGACCTAGGAAGATTTTGAAGAGAAATGCTAGAACGAACTTCAAGTTTTCCAATCAGAAATTCCTCAAGTTGTAACAAAATTTCCATATCTTCTCCAATTGCGGAAAGAAAAGAAGCAAAACTGAAATGGTACAACAGAGCACAAAAATGTCTTCAGCTCGTTTCCTTAAATACCAAGCTGTTCATAACCCAGCTGGTAAGAAATAAAGGATTGTCAAATAAGAGACTACTTTAGAGCATGAATACTAGCCATCCAAAGAAACACAAACATAAATATGATGCCTCGATAATCCTTATCAATAACATTGAAAAGATTTAGAGTATGCTAATGATTCCGAGAAACACACGGAGGACTCCTTGAAAGGCTGGTACTGAATGCGAACAATGGATTGTAAAAATGCTTCATCATGTATCCCGTGAATAAAGTAATGAAACTTGGTGAAGCTACACATGATAATATATAGGTAATCAAAAAGAAAGAAGAATATACTTGGAAGTCTCACAATCACTGCAGTTGCTAAGGTTCAAATCTTCTCATATGCAAATCATTTAGAGGTCTATGATGATAACATCAGGTGATTGAGGCGTATCGTTCATCTATCCAGCATTAACAACTGTAACACAAAAATTTCAGTAGGATCACATTATGTAGCTTGAAATCTTGTTTGCATTTTAGTCTTTACCATTTTTGTTTATCTCAATTTGCACATGTATGGACATTTTTGTTCCAATCCACTTCGCCTCCCTACATTTCTGCTCATATTTTTTTAAGTCACATGCATGCTAGTTCTTACAACTGCATAACCCGGATATGTATGTTTTCATACGGTTAAGAGTAATTCCTATTATTCATGGCACATACTACACCATCCTCTTTTTGCCTCCTATTCTCTCCTATCAACTTACTTGAAAGAGTATTTTCATGTGAATTACTGCCTAAATTCAATATTATAATTGAGTAGACTGCCTTTGATTTTTCAAGTCCCAAAAGCTGGAGAGTTTTGGATAAATATCAACCACCTTAATTCATCTACAGAAAACTAACACCCCTACCGTAGACCTATATAGCAATTCAGAGGTTGACCTAGTTTCTTTGGAATCTTCAAGCTAAAACCATAGACCAGTTCAATATCTTCTCAAGCGGTACATGCACCTGGGGTTCTTGCATCTAGATTTCAAAAATACATATTCTATCCTTCATTAACCCCATGACCAATCTCCTTCTATTAAGAAGTGTCTGAACCAAGACTTCCCCCTCAGCACTTATGTACAACGAGAATGGGTCTTTTATTGGATGGAGTTATCCATAGGATGCCCTTTTAGCAAACTTATTTTCTATTTTTCTGCTACCCTCATTGTTAGCTAATGAAATTGGTTTTCTATTGAGTTGCTTTTCCACTTACCTCAAAGAAACCTTGTAGTAAATTCTAATTTATGTCCATCCAGGAATAGAACTCGTTACATTTTACATTATAAAGTAATTCTTTCAACTTTTTAAATTCTATTTGGTTAGTTAAAAGTACATCATCTATGCTGTATATATAAGCTTAGCTAGATATTTATCCCTCTTTGGTGAATGTACACCTTGAATAAGCAACAACTTGAATCTACTAAACGAAGCACGGACAATAAGGTCAACATATCAGCATATGTTATATTACCAAATGAATCAAGGCAGATAATTAGAATTCAGAGCTAGGGAGAAGGGAAAATAGAAAAGAAAGGCTTGGAAGTGTTAAGCAAAAAAGGTTTATTACCAGAAAAGAAATAGGGGGGAATCCAGCAATACAGTTGTAGTTATAGACTATGCTAAGGTGTCTGTAGCTGCTCTAGTGTCTTCAAAGAAGCCTCATTCATACCGTTTTCACAACAGATTGCACCTAATAATGACTGCCACACATGGATATCTGGAGTCAAGGCTAGAGAGATCATGTCCTCCAAACACATAATAGCACTGTGTAAATCACCTACTTGGCAAAGACCTCGGATAAGAGAATTCAAAGTTCCAACTCTAGGCCAAAAGGAATTAATTGACATTTGCTCCATCACCTTGCTTGCTTCAACATATTTACCATCTTCACATAACCCATCTACCAAAGTTTCATAAGTTTCATAGTTTGGCACGCAACCTACTTGCCTAGACATCCTTTCCAAATACTTTATAGCACAAGTAGATTTTCTTTCATGGCATAGGCCTTTTATAACTACATTATACAATCTAATATTCGGAACACAGTTTTTTTGCACCATCTCACAATCAATGACCATAATTGCCTCATCAACCTGGCCATCCCTGAAAAGAGCAGCTACCTTTGCTTCATAAATCACCACTGATGGTTTGAAGCCTCTGTCATGCATTTCCTTGAGCACTTTGTTACCTTCATCAATCTTGCCTTCGGCGTAAAAGTCAACAGCCATTGCTCTGTAGCTATCTGAACTGGGAACTATGCCTTTTATCAAAGCTTCATTAATCAAAACTTTCATATTTTTTGTATCTGATCCATTCCGGCATTGAGTAAGATCAATCTGCTTGTAGCATCTTTTCGGAGCTTTTAGTCCTTTTCGCAATACCTTACCAAGAATTTGTATAGCCTCCTCCCCTTCTTCATTATCACACAACGCTTCCAATAAAGCTCGATAGACAACCACATCTTCACCACTTCCCTTCTGAGATATCCTCCAGAACATTGAGTACAATAGATGAGTAGCCTCATTGAGCCGCTTTTCTTCACATAAACCCCTCATCAAGATCCTATAACTCTCTTTGTTTGGATAACAGTTCTGGTAACTCATCTCTTGGAAAATATGCGATGCAAGATCAGAGCGTTTCATTCTACAAAGAGCATTCATCAACAAATTCAAGAAATGCGCCCGAGACTTCACTTCCCATCCACAAGAGTTCTCAAGGAATAACTGATAAACAGATTCTAGCTTAGATTCTTCTACCAATATCTCCAAAAGAGTATTCAAAGATCTTGTCCATTCTATACAATTGAACTCCGGAAGAGACTTAAAAAGAAAAATGGCTTCGTTTGTTAATCCAGCTTGTGCATAGCTTCTAATGGCATTCACAAATATTGAGTCATGACACTCACACGAGTCCTCTTTCATCTGATTAATTATTCTCTTCATCTCAGTTGTTCTACCTGATCTGCCTAAAATATTAATCATAGTGCCACAAACAGGACCATTGTGACGGTAAGTTGGATACTTGCATTTTACTTCGTCAAATAATTGAAGCGCTTTTAGTGGGTTCTTCTGGCTCAGTATTATTTGTGAGAGCTGCTTTGGTGTTAGAATCCTTGGCCATCTTATGCCCATAAGCACCAGCAAACTTGATGCAACTCTGAAATAATATAAAAGAGATTATTATAGTCATATATAAAGGACGACAATTTCATGTTTTGAGAATTCCACCAAGAACTGACATTATGGTGTAGTAGTAAATCCTTGAACTTAATTCATGTGACAACTTACTTCATTCATAATTCCTCATCAATCATTCTAACATCAAATGAACTGGACAGTCGTGCAGGTAATTAATTATTCAGTAAAATGGCTATGACCAATCACAGTTGCTACAAGTTCCTGCTCGAGTGAACTGACCAAGCAGTCCACAACCTTTCAAACTACCCCACATTTATTCCTATGAATCTCCCACTAACAATCGTTTACTCAGACTTCACCAACAAGCTAAGCTCATTTCCCTATCAGGCAATTTATCAAACAGTTTGTGTGCAATAAGTTCACTTTGTCTACTTTACATCTTTTTCTTTTTTTTGTTTCCCACTCGGTGTCTGTAGCCTACATTGGAGCTCCGACTAAATTTGGATCGCGCTCTGCAGGGCCCATTCGGCGGTGACGGTCCCAACAGAATTTTCTCCATACCTAGGGCTCGAACCCAAGACCTCTGATTAAGGGTGAAGCACTCCCAGCAGTGCACCACAACCCATATTGGTTTTGTCTACTTTACATCTAAGCAACAGTATTATCCTCCCAGAAATGGTGTTAATTATAGTTCGCAGCTCAACAATCACCAAAATAAGCAACAAGGAAATCAAACCCAGCCTAAAAACCTCATAATGCTTTCATGAGCTGATGAAACTATTCAATACACAAAGGATTTGGGAGGGGGACTGTGGTTAAAAGAAGGAAGAAAAGAGAGAGAGAAAAGAGGGCTTACTTGATTTCGCAGAGCAGTGGTGGGAGAAGAAAGGGATGATCGGGTGAATGTCGTGTGTTGGTTATTCCTGCTTTCTTTTGCTCCTTTCCCGTTTGTGTGTGCTACCGTATTTTTCCTGTTTGCGTAACAGCTGCGGGTTATCCGGGATTCAAAAATAAAAATAAAAATTAAACGTTTACCAAAAAAACATATATCAAACTCAAAATCAAAAACTAACTAAATATTTTAATTTCTTTAGAAAAATTTATCCCGTTAATTTAATATGATCCTTTTGTTTTTCTCTTTTTATCGCCAGAAAAATCATTTGTCCAGTATTTTACTCTTTCTAACCATTTTCAGTTACCTTTTTTTTGTAGCATACACATGAAATCAAAAAATATTTATACAATGTATGTGCAAATATTTATATTTATGTTGTTTCAATCTTATCCAAAGAAAACATAGAAAAGAGAAATAATTGATTGAAAAGGTGAGTTTTCATAAGCTTAGGAGTTTGATTATCAACTTTAGATGTATTTCTCCATCAAAATTAAGAGTATATTTTTGTTTAATGTATAATATGCACAATATATTTGGATTAAAAGTATAATTAGTCAAATATATTTGAACAAAAAGATATAATGAGAAATATTCAATATTGATGAACTTAAAGGACTAGAACTCACATATTACTCTTATAAAAATCTACTGATTCTCTTTTCTCTTTTTCTCCTCCATCTGTAGCTTTTGCTCTTCAAAGGGTACGTCCAAAACGAAACATAAATATTTTTGAGAATGAATCAATATAAATTATTACAATGGTTTTTGTATCCATTAAAAGCAGTGTTAGTGAGCATGTAGTGCCAAATTGTAATAGAGTGCAATCATTTCAAGAAAGGTTGAATTTGCCGCCAAGATGAACAGAAATCAAGATATTTGAGGTTGAATAGACTGATGTGAAATTGAAGTTGAAACTGCACCGGCTCAATCAAGAGATTCAAGAAGTTGAGAAAAAGACCATAGAATAGTTGCATTAGCAAAGAGCACTACGATGGACTTAAAGATTGAGATCACAAAAAGAAGATTGGCTATGGTTGATGAAATGATAGCCATAACTTTGAAAAAGAAAGAGGACAAAGCGCTCGAGATCAAGAAGCTGCGTGAAAAATACCATTTCCTCATTGAAGAGGTTAACGTCACTGTTCCTGAAGATATTAAGCCTGAAGTTGCTGAGAAAAAACCCAAAAAAACAATTGATGATGCGATCCTTTTCTTAAGGCGACTTAAAGAAGGGAATGGAAAGATCACCGTCCAAGTGTACTTTCGGGACTATGACTTGGGTCCCGAAGTCATTTCGTGTGCCCTTATTTATCGAACTCTTAAGGCCATAGGCACCCTACATCCCATCAAGAGATCCACTTCCAGGGTTGAACCCGAAGAAGTGCGCCTACCACCAAAACCAGAAAGGGCACACCACAGATGAATGCATGAAGTTGAGGACAGTGATTCATGACCTGATCAGTAGTGGGAAAATCAACTATATGTGGAGGGACCACACTGTCCTTGTGATCAACCAGCATGCCGCAGAGAATAGTATGATCTGACGTCACGACTTCACAGTTTTTGAGGATTTGTATCTGAGTATCTGCCTTAAGTTGGTTCAAGGTAGGGTCTTGCCCCTGCCAAGAATGGCCTTTGCCTTTGGAAGTGAAACTGCTGAAACCTGACTTTATCATGGCACTGAGGAACACAATATTGAGAAATGTCTCATATACCGTTATGATGTGGAGTCACTGATCAACAAAGGAAGAATCCAGATCAAGTACCCCCTCCACTACCGGCGAAGGTTCAGACAAAGAGAACTTGACAAATCGGAGGAAGGCATAGTTTATCTTTCTAGGAGTTTTCATTACATGCATGTTTTCACTAAGATTATTTTTTTATTTTATCCAATTCAGAAAAAATAACTAATGCAAATTTTCTGGCTATCTCCACACACCATGCAAAGCAAAGCCCAGTATTTAAGTGGAGAAGGATAGAGGGGCGGGTCCATTATCCACCGAGTTTAGAAGGATGTGATTGGTCCAAAGGGCGGGTAACAGACGGATCTCTTGGTCATAAAAAAAAGCAAACTGGCTTTCTTCTCTATCATACATTTACTATTTTTCTGGGGGGGTTTTCAACAATTTTTGTTCTCTTATACAGGAATGAGACTTGGGCAATTTTGTGCTAGAAACAAGTTTCTCCCTTTCAGTTCTGGGATTCTACCATATTCTAAAACTTCTGGTAATTCTATTCAGCCTCTGATCTGTAACCTCATGGTTCATTGGCAGAGTTCCTGCATCTACTTTATGAGCTTCTTTTGACCATCTTCTGCACATGAAAGTATTGGCATTTGCTATATCCACCTTAATGACCTGCAACAATTTATTGAAAAATGAGCATTAAAACATTGTGACTAATAAAGCATCAGTACAATGTCAAAGTTATGCACCGATAATGTTAGCATGTTAGTTCATTCATAAAAGGAAAAAACATTAGCGAGTGAGATGAACTAGTGTGTCCTTTGAGATTTAAAAGTGTTCGCACGGCAGATTTCAGGGCTGTTCGGGCATCAACCGCCACCATTTGGGATTTTTTCAAGGTTTCATAAACTGTTGAATTTAGCATCTTTTATATTTGTTTATATTCTTATAATTCTATCTAGAGTCTAAATCTGACATTGACATAGTAGTAATTAGGGTATAGAGTTACTTTCTGTGAAGTCGTGTATGATTTCTTAATTCATGAAGGTGGTTCATACTGGATTTTGCTTTTTGAAGGGTATATATTGTCTGTGACACTGTTCCAAAGTGCTTTACTATCAGCATATCTGGAATGCTGAATGTCTTAAGAGTTTTTCCAGAACAATTTGTCTCAGGTTCTAAGAAACAGATTACTAGAACTATGAAGGCCATTCTTCGATTATATACTTCCTCATCTTCAGAAGTGGCATCTGTGCTTTTGGAACTTATGCTGCAGACAGTGGATTCCTCAAATTTTCCAGGGGACTCAGAGAATGCCCCAACAATCTATGAAACTATTGACATGCATAGTGCATTTGATGACTGGAAACCAATCCTAAAGAAATTGTCAAACAGAGAACCGGATTTGCTTCTGACTCGTCTCAGGGCAACTCTAGACAAGATTGAGACTATGGGAGCCTCAAAGCATCAGCTTGGTAAGTGATGTATTCTGGTTTTGATAGTAGAAGGATGGTATGTTGTAATGGGCAGCTGAGGTTGTAGAGCCTTTCTAGTACATAAGAAGCAATTGTTGTTAAACTAGCTTACCACTGTTATAGACTTAAAAGCTTAGTTCGATCCTCGTTTAACACATTCTTCAGCTCGTGTTAGTGCGTCAGTTATAACAACTATTGTCCAATCCTTGACATCTTCCTGCATATAAGCAATCAAATGAAACAACATAGTCATTCAAATTTTGTCATGCAGCTGAACCAGGAAGAATATTGAGGGAAAAGAAAAGAATAAATAGTACATTATCACTTTATAAGAACACTAAGACATTTAAGACAAGATGCTCTTGCATGATCTCAGGAACAAATTTCCAAATAAAACATACCAAAAGAATTGCACTGGTCCTAACCCAACAGAATCCTGACGCCAAAACCAAAGTAGAGAAAGTTCGAAGACTATGTCGTACTCCCATAGTCCCATTTTCTACAGGCTTCTTCCATTATTTGGATAGACAGTTTCTTTCAAACTAATTTGTAACATTTCACCAGGCATTGAAACTTCCCATTTAAAAATATATAGCTAAGAGTCCCCATTGGCCCTCATCCCTTTAATGGCCCTAATAGCTGGTTGTCTTTAGATGTGTGACTACTTCCAACAAAGATATTCATCATTTTTACTACTTCTTGCCTAAATTTGAGAAGGGCTGGACTTATACCATTCTTTTTTTGACAAAAAAAAAAAGCTGGACTTATACCATTCTAATCACATATTATGCGAGAGTTGGAGACATTAAGCGTGTCAATATTAGGAAATTGTGAATATGACAAACTAGAAGAAAGATCTGAACAGTGAGGATAAAAAGTTAGAAAGGAAAGAAGCAATTTATATGGGAGAAAAAACTCAAGGTCCGGTCAACAACAGTAAAATGGTTTGGGAAAGAAAATCAAACCCAATAGAAAGTGAAAGAGAAGATGAAGCAAGGGACTTGGTTGACCTTGATAGAGTGATCGTTGTAGGAAGGTTGCAGCAAAAAGACCCATGAGCCGGTGGATGAAACTCTACCGAAGATGATGGATGGCACATAAAACACAAACCCTCTTTCTTTTGGGAACAAAATAGGGAAGAACTTTTAAACAGTCAAGGGACCCAAACTCTCGGCTCCGGCATCATGTAAAGGAAAAGAGAATGAATTTCTTGATTCCCCAAGCATGTTGAGATTTAAATAAGCATTTACAAGTAATACAGAAGGGAAAAGAAACTATTTCCTGTTCCTAGTTACACAAATTACAGGGACTCCAAATCTTTCCCATATTACAAGGTACCTATTCTTGCAATATTTAGTATTTCATAATATTGACATTCTTAACTGGAGAGAAGGAAAAGGGAGAAATTTTAGGGCATCGAAATGAACGAGGCAAGTCCAATTTACGAAGAAAACTCAGGACCAAAGTTTCCTCATGTCAGTCCAGTTTGCTCGCACCTTAATAATTCCACGAGGTACCTACTACCTCCTACCAACACAGTAACGTGTAACTCTATCCACCAAAGGTTGGACAGATGAGAAGAAACCACCTAATGTTTTTTGCCTCCACTAGGAATTAAACCTGAGACCTCATGGTTATCGACCACTTCATTGAGACTACGTCATGCCCTTGGATACCAAGGAATGGGATGCAAATACCAAGAAGTCCAAATTTTCCTTTTCCACTTTCTAAGGAAATGGGATGTCGAAGACCAAGAAGTCCAATTTTGAATATGTTCAAACTTGACTTGTGCTTGATTTCATGTTAAATGCATGATACTACGTGTGGATGATTGTTGACATCCAATTTTGAACTAATATTTTCAAAGTTAATACTTTTAGGCTTCTTATTCGTTAAATAGTACAAAGTACAATTTTTTTACACATGTTTAACCATTTTAACACAATTTGTCGATAAATAATTCTTCTTTATGTAAATATGAGAATTTTTAACAATTTATTATAATTTCAGTTAATTTCAATAATCACTTATTTTCGTCACAATTGTTTGCATATAAACAAAATACTATTCAATTTTATTGGTCATCATTTTGATTTAATTAAAATCACTTTTCAGCAGTCTATTAATACATTGAAAGTTGGAAGAAATATTTCAAACACAAATAAATTAAATAGCCCATGATATTGGGCACATGGTTTTACGTAGTTCATGGGATTGGGCACATAGTTTTGGAGAGCCTGTGGTATTGGGCACATGATTTTGAACATCGGGTGGTTTTACTTTTCATATATAGCTTTCCATTCTTTCCACATTTAACTTGGTAACTTTGTATTATATCAAAAAACTTGCGCGCCCTGCCTGGAGCACTTCCGGTGCGCTACTCCCGAAGGAAAACTCATATGCGCTTTGGCAGGCGCATTGCGCCAAAAGTACCCCAAGTTAGCGCATCATAGGTGCATCGCGCCATGAGGAAAACTCCTAAGCGCTTTGGCAGGCGCTTCATTTCATCCTTACTCCATATTCAGATGCATATTAAGGGGGAAAGACTTTGACTGGGAAAGGGGCCTCCTCTGCCTACGACACCTGGCTGACTACGACAACCATAGGAGTACTCCGAGATATAAACCAGGGCAACAAAAGTGGAGCATACGACGATGCCGCCCGTTTTCATTTCGTGGAAGTCCTCGACAGAGGAAAGGGTTGTAAGTGATGGCGCGTTCTGCATCTTATCTAGAGAGGGGCGTTCAGCCACTTGACCGTAAGGAGAGGGGCGTCGAAATCCTTTCTATTGGTTCTTGCATGGCAGCTGGTATAGATGATGAAAGGTGGGCCGCTTTTTCGGGACCTATTCTCTTAATAGGAGGCAAGGCACGCAAGAGTTTTGCTCCTAGCATGGTTATCATAAATGTAAAAAAAAATTATGGCGATTCATCATGATGCGCCGGGCTAGGAGTTCCCCAGGCTGGCGCACTATAGACTCACTGCAGGCACGCCGCGCCACCATCACGCCCCAAAAAATTTTAATGGGTTGGAGGCCTACCAGCTCAAAATCTAATATTTTTACCCCTCCCTCCCCCCCACCCCCCAACCACCTTTAAAACCATATTTCCCTCCTAAACCTCCCTCTCCCATCTCAAATCAATAGCACCAAGCCCTTTTCCTCTCCCAAAAATTTCTCCTTTCTCCCACTATTGTTGTCTTCCCCAAAAGCTTCCAACCCCTCACCTTAGAAAACTTTTTCCCCTTCACTTTCCTCCATAAACAGCTGCCCCAACTTTCTTTTTTCTTCTCCCTCACAAGGTTTTCCCCTATTCTCCATTCTTGCTCAAGTCAAAATGGTACCAAGCGGTAAACAAGTTGAAGGCAGTGTGGGTAGCAAAAGGTCCCAAAAAGGTGATGTCGTCAATTCGTCGGGCCAAGCAAGTTCTCGGCACACCCCTCAAAAATTTGGAAAGCAAGCGGCGAAGCACTACGAGCAAGATTGGTTTGAGTAACAAAGGAGGCAAAGTATTTGGGGGATGAACATGTGGATGAGGGTCAGTTGCAGGCTGAGTTCCCCCAAATTCATGAGAGGGTGTACAAATCGGGCATTTAATATATTTTTCAGGATCAAGGTGAGTGTAATCTCACTTTAGTTCGAGAATTTCAAGCGATTTGGGACACAAATCAACGTACAAGCAATAGAATTGAGGTTCGAAGAAAACAATCTGTTTCACCACCCGGGTGTTGAATGAGTTCTTTGGCACACCCCATGTTGATGCCTCAGAGTATCTGGATATGAATAAGGCCCCACCTTACAGAGACATCCATCACACACTTTGTGGCATAAATTCGACAACCTGATGGGAAAGAAGCAAGGAAACCGAACGACATGCCACTTAGCACTACGCCCATTTGAATCAAGAAGCACGGGTATGGCCCAAACTTGTTTGTAGTACTCTTTTACCTTGTAAGCATACCTCTTAAGTAACGAAGGATAGGGTAGTGTTGGTTTATATGTTGATGAAGGAAATGTCGGTTCTTGTGACATCAGTTCTCCGCCATAATTTGGTGAAGTTTAGAAATAATAAAAGGTGGAGGTATTGCTATGGGGTTTGATGATCCGTTTAACTGGATAGAAGGTGTGGAGGCGGAGTTCCACGATTTATGCCCACCGAGAGTGCCACATTTGGTATGTCAGTTGGTTGATTGACTAAGACCAAGGCACAAGATACCTCACACGGACCCGTGCTCTCTATAGCAGATTGCCAGGCACAGGACAATAGTTAGATGTGTTGAATGTTTGGTATGGCTAAGTTGCAATTGCACACTGGTGGTTGTCATGTGACCGATGCAAATATGGCTAAATTAGTCGAGTGCTACCCACTGACGAATATATTGTTATGTATATGTGTAAAATGGGCCTAGCTTTTCAAGAGTTATTGGATGATGATGAGCCCATTGTTCATGATGCTCATGATGATTAGAAAGTGGATGATGCAGGCACATCGTTCATGGCGGTTGACGGATCCACGGATATGGCAGATGAAGATGATGGCGACGACGCCTAGAGGCCATGGAGTTCTTTCTTTCACTCTTAGCTTATGTATTAAATTGTTGCATCGGGGACAATGCCATGTTTTAAGGCTTGGGTGGAGGAATGAATACCAACTTTTACTATTATATTGAGTCTTTCATTTTTAGGATGAGTTCCTTGACTTTTGTTTTCCGTTCTTTCCTGAGGATAGTCCCTTTGAACAGGGTAGAGTTTTTGATTTCTTCAGGAGAGTCATTGTAGTAGTGATTTTTCCTAATGATGGATGGATGGATGGCGATCGTCTTAAGGGAAAATTAGTCATAGGTTTGTAGGATTGGAAGCCTGACCACTTTAAAGTTAGCCAGATGTCATGGATAGTTCATGTGTAATCATGTGTATTAAAGAAGTAACTCTCTAGAAACGCATAAGTTTTTTAACTGGACTCTAAGAATGAAGAAACTGGGTCCAATTGTATTCGCTCAAGATGTTTGTGTACGAGAGCATGCAATGTATGTGTATCATGGTGTCATGTGTGGTGAGTATTTGATTGGTTTCTTGCATAGAATAACATCTAGAACTTGTCTCGTGTGTGTGACAAATTGACTAGCATGAAGTTGTGGAACATGATTTGGGCATTTCATTGTATAGCCCGTTCGATAATAGTTTGTGCCACGTTGACATTATCCTTAGTGAAGCCCCTTGAGCCTTGTAGCCTATTTCTTTGTGTAGCCACATAATGAGCGTAATCCCTCTTGCAACACCCTGTTTTAATTTGATCCAAATAATATTCCTTAATGCACTTTGTAGTGAACAATATGAACAAAAACAAGGGTGAATGAAAAGGGATGGTAAGTGTAGTAAAGGAGAGATTTGGTGCATGGTGCCCGGGTAAATTAGCGAAATGCTTGCTGCATATAAAAAAAATGGTATGATGAAGTAAGTAAAGTGATGTGCTAGCGGCAAGTGCTTGGAATACTAAAGGGGGGAAATCAAAAGATAAAGAGGGAATGACAAAAGGTGTGAACATAAAGAGGAAAGTAAGGCTAAAAGAGGAACAAAGAGTAAATTTTTGTGCCTTAAAACAACTGCATTAGGGAGGAAAGTCGCTATATATCCAAAAGTATCTTGAAAAGTTTAAATAACGGGAAAAATAAATGCTTTCATGGACTACTTTGACTTTAGGGATTTGCTTTATCATTAGCTAAAGGAGACAATGGGGAAGCTCAGTCTAATTGTCCGAAGTAATTATTTCTTGATTGGATGCCAGCTTTCTCTTAAATCCTATCATGCACTTACATACAAATCTATAGGTAGTTCAACTCCTTCTAAGAAAAATATCCAAAGTTTAGGTATTGAAATGAATGCCTTCCCATCATTGGTTATTCCTAATGCATTCCTCTATAACAATAAACTTATTTTAATTAAGTAAATAAATAGTTAAGTACTTGGAATAAGCAAGTAACTTTTGTGATAAAAAAAAAATTCTTACAATATCTTTCTTCAATCTTGATAAGTAAACAAATACATACACTAATTTTACAGTGATTCATAATGTTCGAATACTTTTATGTTTTTACATTTGCAATGAGCTCAAACGTCCTTAGATAGGAGGTTGTGGAGGAGACGGATTAGGATAATAGGTTAGTAGGTAGTAGTGTGTCGTCTTGATATCCATCCATACTAGTAGTCATAGTATTGCTTCTATAGTTTATTGTCCTTTGATTTTTGTTTCTATTTGTTGTATCTTGTCCTTTGATGTCAATTGGGACTTTCCTATGGGAATGCTAGAGAAGATGGGATTTGGCCACAAATGGAGACAGTGGGTTAAATTTTGCATATCTTCAACGAATTTCTCAGTATTGGTAAATGGCTCTCCAGTAGGATTTTTTAGGTCACAGACACCCTTCCTTTTCATACTAGTCATGGAGGGACTCAACAATATGATCAAGAATGCATGCAATGAAGGATGGCTGAGAGGTTTTGAAGTTGCTAGAGCTGGAAGGGAAAGTCTAGAGATCACTCATTTACTATATGCAGATGACACCCTAATTTTTTGTGATGTTGAGGAAGACCACCTTAAAATATTGAGACTGATTCTAGTTATTTTTGAAGCTATGTCTGGGCTACATGTCAACTGGAGGAAAAGCTTCTTGCCCCCAAAGGCATACCCAAGTATGTGGTTGGGAGGACACCCACTTCACCTCCCAATATTGACTTCAAAATTTCCATGTTTGGTACTTCCAACATATATGATGTCATTATTTCTTATCCCACCGGGAATCATCAATAGGTTGGATAGCATCAGGAGAAAAATTTTATGGCAATGGAACAAGGAAAGGAGAGGATATCACTTAGTCAAATGGAAAACTGTGATCACCGAAAAGAGAGTTGGGGGTCTGGGGATCAAGAACATGAAGAACCGGAGTAAAGATTTGAGGATGAAGTGGCTTTGGAAGTACTCAAATGATAATCAGAATTTCTGGGGATCAGTCATAAAGGCAAAATATGAAGAGAGTGATGGTTGGATGACAAAGGAGGTTACCACCCCTTATGGTGTTAGCTTATGGAAATCCATTAGAGAACTTTGGAATGAATTCAAACCAAACACCAAGATCAAAGTGGTAGATGGCATAAAAACTAGGTTTTGGAAGGATGATTGGCATGCAGAAGGAAATATGGAGACTCTCTTCCCTGACATCCACAATTTAGTTCTTCAGCAACAAAGTACTATAGCTGACTTATGGACTCCTCAAGGGTGGAATTTTGTATTTAGAAGACATCTCAATGACTGGGAAATTCCAAGAGTAACCGAATTTTTTAGAAGCATTGATCAATTTAGTGGTCTGGAAATGGGGCGAGACAGATTGCAGTGGTTGGGAAACAATAAAGGGATTTTTAAAGTAGGTGCAGTGTACAAGAAGTTGAATCATCCAAATTTGCAGCTACTCAAGTGGCCCTGGAAACAGATATGGAAAGCCAAGATCCCCTACAAGGTGTCTTGCTTTGTGTGGTTATTGGCTAAAGAAGTAGTATTGACACAGGAGAATTTAATGAAGAGGGGAATTACACTTTGCTCTAGATGTTTTTTCTGTGGGAAAACTGCAGAAACAGTCAATCATTCGTTTATCCAATGCAAAGTCACTGGCCAGTTGTGGAATTTGTTCCTGAGACGTAAAAGCATCTCCTGGTCCATGCCTGGGAGAATTTCAGAGGCTCTATTTAGCTGGGAAGAAGCAGGGACACAAGCAAAAAACAGAAGTAACTGGAGAATTGTCCCTGCCACTATTTGGTGGACAATATGGAAAGAGAGGAACCTTAGAGTTTTTGAGAATAGGGAGAGTAGTATGCAACAAGTTAAACTGAATTGCATTTCGACTCTGTGTTTTTGGTGTAATCAAATTTACTCTAATGATACCGTCTCTATCATTGATGTGTTAGGCTCATTATAGGGATAGGTCGGTATTATTAGAGTTTCCTTATGTAAATACGGGTTTCAGTACAACCTATGTACTGTTCTGCAGAAATAGAAACAATTACCATTTTCAAAAAAAAAAGTATCAAGTTTTTTTGATAAGATTGGTCACAAACTTTTTACAATTAAAAGAGGTATGATCAAAAAGCCCCAAGTCAATACCTAAGATCCGCAAAGTGAAGGACCAACAAACAAAGTTAACATGATTACCTAATGGTATAATAAAAAAGCTACTGGTGGACTACTTAAGTGGATATAATGGAAAAAGTAACCATAATCATAAAACTAAACCATGCTAAATCACAAGATATCATTTTCTTGAAACAAACAACTTAGATAATAGGTCTGCAGCTAATGAAAAGAACAAGAAATGGATTAAATTTGTTGTATAACACCCAAAAAGTCATGGGAAAAGATTAGTTTCGACTGCCAGAAGGTTGTCACTGTAGTTGCAGGAACAGTGGACAAAACACTCGTGCTGCCGGAATAACTGCTGAAGAAAATAAATGCAGGTAACTGCAGGAATGGTCACCAAAAAGGTGTGCGGTGTTGCTGGAAAGATGTGCAGCACCACCAAAAGAGCCACGGAAAAGATGTGAGGTGTCACTGAAAAGGTTTCCAGAAACACTCTCAATGCTACATAACGATCATCGAGAATAGGCACGGTACCATCACAACAATCACTGATATTAGGCATGATAAAAGGGAATGGGCAAGGTAAATAAGAGTGATGCCTATTGGAATGCGGGAAATTTAGATTTCTACTTAGATCATAGAAGATTCTGATAGCATGTGAGGAACGAAGATGAGAGAAAATTTGTATTAATTACTTTACGATAATTAATACAATACGCAGTTACTTTAGGTGAAAAGCAAAAGATCTTGCATCTAACTCATTCAAAAACTAGAATATCACTAGTATAGAAACTTAACTAGCTATCTAACACCTTCATTTTGCACTAAGGTTGGCATGCCTAGTTCTAGGCCAACAGGCAAACAATGATAAACCTCTAGACCCTCCAACATCCTTATAGTCATTGTTGATATTCTGCTAAAAAGCATTCCCACTAGTAACCTGAATGCCTTACAACTATAGGAAGCTTTCTAAATTCTAACCCGTTTTGTTTGTTCTCTAGAATGTTAGCACGAAAAATACCTATCACCAGATAAATGAAAGGTTAAAGAAGTAATGCATTTACCATCTTCAAAGGCTCCCCTGTCCTAAGCTTTGCATTTGGACGGGCTAGTTTAGATTCAAACGGAGTTCTTGGTCGCACTTCCTGAACTAATTCCCATTCCTCGCGGGTAAGCATCCTAACTGTTCCTTGACCAGCAGGCGCATTCTATATTTTTCGCTCAATCATATCCTGCGACTTCGAATCATCATACTGCATGCAAACACAACTATAACTTATAAGCTACTCAGCTGATTAAGATTGTAAAACATACAAGCAAGTTTACTACACCAAAGAATTGAAAATATATTAGTGTTTACCGCAAGTCTCACACATCCCTACCTGTAGAATCAACAAAAAATACCCATGATGGAGACTTTGATGTTTGTGGATTCAGTCAGCTAAAATACATCAAACTCCTCAATCAATATCAACAAGATTCAACTGAAGTTCCTTTTACATTATAATGAATGTAAATAGAAATAAGTCCCATTAATTCAAACCAAGAAAAACAAAGATATTCTACAGTCTATAAGCAGTTCTATATCGAGATACCATTTCTTTGGTACATTACAGCAGTAAAGTAATTCTCCTATTAAGATTATGAATATCAATGAAACCATCAGGTCACTCCACCTATGAAGCAACATTTAAACCTTGTCAAGTATCAATGTCCTCAAGTTTCTCTTTTACTCACTATCACAATCCAACCAGAATCACAACGAACAAATGAATATATATATTAGGGGTTTGTCCATTTCTAAGATCATTCCAATTTCATCCAAATACTAAAACGGAACTTTACACAAACTGCAATTGAGTATCATACCATCATGGGGAGCTTTGCGAAAAGTGTGGTCCCAACAACAGTGAGTATCATGGGCATAGTAGTAGTATCAAGGAATGATCTTGAATCAGGAACCTGAACAAATAACTGATTCTTCCGAGGATCTTTCCATTTCTTCTTCACTTTCAATTCAGCAACCTTCCTCTTCAACGTCTCGCTGGGGCCAAATTCACGAGATAATGTGTGAAGTTGTCTACAAAATTTGCGAATACCCATCATGATTCACTAAGAAATTGAATCAATTATCAACTGGTATCGTAGATAGTGCATATGATAATTGAGAAGAAGAGAGAATTTGAAATGAGGGTTTAGGGTTTTCGATTGCCGAAACTGTACAACGGTAATTAAACAGATTTTCATTTCATTTGTATTTGATTTTTTTTTTTAGGCTTAAGTCATTCACGTCCCCTTGAAGTTGTCCGCATATTTTATTTAGACATCTTAACTAGGACTATTATCTATTCAACACTCAAATTGTTCAAAAAATATACCTATTAAACACAAAATGCTGATATGGCAAAAAAAATGTTTTTCACTTCCTATGGGAGCATGAAATTTTTTTAAATACTGTTTTATTTTTATTTTTTAAATACTTTTTCTTCTTTAATTGACACTTGGCATTTAAATAAATTAAAATAATTTTTAAATATTTTTTTTAAAAAATAATTCTTAATTCAAAAAAGAAAGGGCAACCCCTACTCCCCTTCAAGTCATCTTCTTCCCCAAATTTAAATTTTCAAAGACAACTAAAGAATCTCCATTTTTTTTTCTTTTTCTATTTCTTTTCAATATTCATAAAAAGAAAACTGAATTTGCAAGAAAAATAACGAAAGTAGATTTTTGAACATTGGGATAAAAAAAGTAAGTCAACTTTCCATCTCCGATTTCGGTCACCTTCGAATAAATATTACTATTCCGAGAAAATTGTAAACTCACTAAACTTATCAAAAACAATATCAAATAATTCCCTAAATTAATTGAGGTCCTCTTGATTTCTCCTTACAATCGATTTCAAGATGATTAACCATAGACAAACTTCCTTTATTCATCACTCTTGTACCAACTCTTTGAATATCTTTCTCTATCACGTATTAGGAATGAAAAATAATTTTCGATAAAATTAATTTGGGTCCTTTCGATTTTTCTTTGCAATCGATTTTCGGATGAGTAACCATTGACAAACTTCTTCATACTATTGTATCAATCTCTTTAAATATCTTTCTCTCTCACAAATTAGGAATACAAAAAAAAAATTTAAAAATCAAATCTGCAAGTAATTTGCAGTGAAGGTTTTTGTGGTTTGAGAAAAAAAATTGATGAGGAGAAAAAGAAGAAGAAAGAGGGGTTGAGTAGGGTGGGGTTGAGTAAAATGGGTTGTCATTTCATTTATTTTTTTATTAAGAAATAGATATAAAATTTATTTGAAATAATTTTCATTCTTTTTAACATAAAAAAAAAATCTATAGTTGTTGGGGTCAAGTGACACATGTCATCTATTAATTAGTCATTTTTGCCACGTCATAGCAAGTGTATCACACACACTTTACCTTTTTTATTGATTATCAAAAAAGGTTTAATAGGAACAAGTTATAGATAGATAAAAGTGTTCAATAGGTACTAGTCCTAGTTGATGTGTCTAAGTGAATTATGCGGACAACTTTAAGGGGCCGCAGATGACTTAAGCCTTTTTTTATATGTTTGGAACCGTATAATGTGAATTAGAGAAAATGACAACATGGTCCTTATGTTTCGGAGCAAGTCTAAAATAGTATTTTAAATTTATTTTGAGTAGCTTTGATCCTTCAATTTTTTCAAAAGTAACTCAAATATCATAAATAGATTTTAAAAATATAGAAATTACCCGACACACTACGGCCTCATTTGTTTGCATTTAATGAAAGTCTTAATCTGAATGGTTCAGACATTAGGTCATTAAATGTGTTTGTTTTTTTCCCTTAAAATTTTCTTAATGGGTCTGAAAGGGTTGGGGTTTTCAAAACCGAACTGCAACCGATAAGCCAACCGCAATATTGACTTATTGGTATTGGCTTATAGAATAAATACTTGGGGAACGGATTAAATTTTTTAAATTAACGGTTTATTGGTTTGGGGGCGGATTATTCAGGTACAGCCATGTCAGTAGCTTCTTATTCCCCTGCTTTAATTCTAACTAGTTTGGAATTAATTACAACAATTAAATCCACCAACTAAACTACATTATTTATTTGAACTTATTTCAACAACTAAACTACATTAACTTTGACTAGTTTTAAATTAATTCAAACAACTAAATCAAAGTCTAGGACAAGACAAACAGCTACACTTTGTTCAACAGTAGATGGACACTTCATCAATAGGATCAGCTAGTGTTGATACTTATGCTTAATAAACACATTATACCTAAATTAAAGTTTAGTATCAACACTAGATGGACACAAATCGATCTTGTAAGAAAATCAATTTTGTCATCTATAGGATCAATTAGTGTTGGTACTTAATTATGCTCAACAAACATTTTCTTCCTAAATTAAAGCTAAGTGTCAACACTAGTTAGACACAAATCGATCTTGCAAGAAAATTATTTTTGTCATCACTAGGATCAACTAGTGTTGGTACTTATGATTAATAAACACATTATCCCTAAATTAAAGCTAAGTGTCAACACTAGATGGACACAAATCGATCTTGCAAGAAAATCAATTTTTTCATCAATAGGATCAACTAGTGTTGGTACTTATGCTCAACAAATATATTATTTCTAAATTTAAAGCTAAGTGTAAACACTAGATGGACACAAATCAATCTTGCAAGAAAATTAATTTTGTCATCAATAGGATCAACTAGTGTAGGTACTTATGCTAAACAAACACGTTAGCACCAAATTAAAGCTAAGTGTCATCATGGACAAATTGATATTGCAAAAAAATCAATTTTGTCATCAATAGGGTCAACTAGTATTGGTATTTATGCTAAATAAACACATTATCACCAAATTAAAGTTAAGTGTCAACACTAGATGGACACAAATCGATCTCGCAAGAAAATTAATTTTGTCATCAATAAGATCAACTAATGTTGTCACTTATGCTAAGCAAACACATTATCACTAAAGAACACTATAAAAATTCAAACAAACCTAATATAAAAATTCAAACAAACAAACCTAAGCAAAATGCAAGTGTTGTACATTGAATAAAAGAAATCTAATATATACAATAATTAAACTTTTGGAGGAAAAAATACCTCGACTTTCTTTAATTAGGGATGGAGATGGAAGGGTTGGCGGCAGTTGGCTCGATGGCATCAAAGATTGGACCTTTAATTAGATTGTACCCCTGCACTTAAAATTTTGTACACCAAATTTAGTACATTCTATAGTTGTGAAACTTTTTCTTTAAAAAAAAACAGTTTAACAACAGATAGATAGCAAAGCTTAGGTCTCTACGAGAAAATGCAACATATTATTGGATCATCTCAGCACCATACGTCTTATCTAAAGCCATGGTAGGTAGGAAAATACTACTTCATGTAACTTCACCTTCTATTTGGCCTACTACATAGAGCATACAAATTAAGAATATTTAATTGAGATACAAATGGTTCACTATGATTCGAAAGTAAAATAACATTAGTTCCAAACTTTACCAGTGTGTAAATCAATGCATGTTTAGTGTAAAATAGGAATATATGTTAGAACTCACAAGTTCCTTTCTTTCTCTACAGAGTGCAAATTGTAATATATAGAAATGTAAGTAGGATTTTTGAAAATTAATAAACACATACATGCAACCATTGTGACCTGCATTGCTGGTCGACGATGTGGGGTGGCGTAATACCCTGAAAACTAGTAGACTAAACTAGAGCCTTAAGTTAGGGTTCTAGAGTTTGATATGACGGTTAGAGTCGTAGATACGACTTCCCGAACTTAGAATGAGGGATTTAGGGGTTAAACGTCAAGGTACAACTCCCCAAGGACCAACCAAAGGGGTCCTTGAGAAGGACCCCAAAACAACCCAAAAAGGTGACCTACGGATGGGACCTACAGGGCGTAGGTCCATCCACGCCTCGTAGGAGGTGGTCGTGGGTCAAGGGCCAAGGTGAGAAGTTGCAGACCATGAACTACGAACCTGCAACATGCCCCGTAGACCCACCTACGGTCCGTGGGGCTTGGTCGTGGGTCATGCCTGTAGGCTGCCACAATTCGGCCAAGGCTAGGGTAGTTAGGTAAATTCCTTAGTTAGTTAGTATTAAGTGAGGTTGTTTTGTATAGTTATTATTCACATATATAAGTACTTTTAAGTCATTAACAAACCCTTTACACTTCATAAATCCCAAACCTAAAATCATAACCAATTTTCCCCCAAATATTTCTCTCTAAAACTCCATAGAAGAAGAATGTGAAGTCTAGGATTGAAGGGGCTATCTTTTCTACTCAATTTCGTGGAGAATCTTCAATAAAGTATGTTAAATTATTTATTTGTGGACTCTTCCATCCATAGAGCTCCCTAGATTTCCCCCAATTGTGAAGACAAAACCCAATTCTAGCTAGGGTTTCTTCCTATATTGTGGGTAGGGTTTGAGTATGATTCCAATTGAGTGGATAATACTTGTTTGTGATTGTTTTAGTATTGATTTATGATATTATGATGATATTACATGTTTTCCATGGTTAATCCTAGTCTAATTGATGAAGTTGAATTATGTGGGTTTATGCCATGAAAGATGAACTTGAGGATTCATAGGTAATCTTCTAGAATTGATGTTATGAGTAGTAATTGTTCAAAGATAGGAACATATAGACATGAATTGAATTAGAATAATGTGAATATGATAGATCTTGACTAGTAAGGCTTGAGATTGAACTTATATGATGAATTATGACTAGAATCACCTAAGAATGGTGAATGTGATTAAAATGCCTTGAGATCTAGGTAGGAATGATGATTGTAAGAAGTAAAGCTTTGAGTGTAAGGCTTGTAGTCATGAATGTTGATCACTAGGATTTTGAGAGTAAAACCAATATGATGAACTAGGTATGTTAAGGCTTTAAGAGTAAAGTCAATATGAAAATAGAAGCTTAATGGATAGAGTTATGGTGGAAGACCTTTACCTACCTAATCTACCTTATGAATGCTTGAATGTATGAAGTGATAGGATCACTTGAGTTATGATGATATCCATGTCTAATGTAGCATTCTAGATATGGTATTATGCATGAATATGACATGACATAAAAGGTTCTCTCACATAGAATGATTCCAGGTTGAA